TCGGTGCCCTGGCCCGCTACACCCCTGCCAGTCATTGGTGCGAGCTCACGGAGCCTGACAAAGGAACAAGGAACAAGCGACTTAGCAGGAAACATCAGACGGTTCCTGGCTGGGCACACGCGGAGGCACCGGCACAGCCAGAAACCTCACCCAGCGCCCAAACCCACCAGGCATCCTCACCCTCAGCACCCAAGCGTCTGGAGTCTGTTCCCACCCACTCACCCAGCTCCGTTCCCCCTCCAGCCCCGGTCCCAAGGGACGTGTCCCACAAGGACCAGGCTGCCGAGTGATGCTGGCTCCCAGCAGGGCTCAGCCTGGTCCCCGGCGAGCCACAGCCTGTAGACCATCAGCATTCATCACCCTACGTGGCAAAGCAGTGGAGGCTGCCCCAGAGGGCCCAGCAGGGTCCCCAGAGCGGCCACCAACCTCCCCTCGGAGCACGATCCGACTTCCTCTTCCCGCTGCCGGCGCCTCCCCCGCCCCAGTTCCCTCCTGCCAACTTTCTCTTTCTTTTTCCTGCTCTCTGCACTGGGTTGGCCTGGCAGCCCCATGCCGAGTGGGAGGAACACAGCTCCAGCCTCCAGCCCATCTCCCCCCACGGCACAAAAGATTCGTTGGAATTAATTAAGGAAGCATCCGCCCTTTTTGCTCCTGGAATGCAGAACCCAAGGTCGGGAGACAGGCATGCTGCAACAGGGACCTGCCATCATCTCTCCAGCTGACAGCTCAGTAAACATCCGGCTGGGAGAGCTCAGCCCTGGCGGTAAGAAAGGCAACTCATGGATCCCTGCCCTCTACGGCCACCCGCTCCCGCATTTGCCATTAGTTTCCTGGGTAACCAGAGGCCAGGAGCATCCCTGGGAATGATGCTGCAGCGCTTGGTGGCTGGGCCACATGGCCAGGGCAAAGGAAGCATGCCAGGGCACAGCCGTGGGCCAGGTGTGCTGCCAAGCAAAGCCACCAGCCTCATGCTGAGCATCCACCTCAGGCTCCTGACCAGCAGCCCCCACGGACTGGCTCTCCGGCAATATCAAGGAAGAGCAGGATTTATGGCTGATGTCCCTCAGGCAATGGAGCAGGGGGGCAAACCCTGCATTGCTTCTACAGAAATACTTTTCATTAAGAATACTTTAAATTAAGAATCCTTTCCCCTGCTCTGGGATAAACGGGGTGCTGGGGAAGGCAGGCAGAGGGGGCTGAAGCTTCTGCTCCAGCTTGTGCTCCAGGCATCAAACACTGAGCAGTGGTCGGAGCATCACCCACTGTCCCAGCTCACCCTTAGAGATCTCCTCACCTCCCATCCCAGTGTCACAGCACCCACTCATTGCCGAGCCAGGAAGGTATCGCCTAATCCTACTTCTCTGTGTGCATCAGGTCGGACACGTGCTCAGTGGATAAACACCAGCCTGGTTTATCTCTCAAGGCCTGGCAGCGAGCCTGGTGCTGAGCAGAGCTGCAGGTTTCCGTTTTGGAAAGCTGTGGGATTCCGTGGTGGAGTCCCACAGCAGCACTGGCCCAATTCAGGTCACTGTGCCACACGATCAGCTCTGCACCCACAGCTAAATCATCCCAACTCATCTCTGTGCCTTCACTTCCAAACTTTTACTTGCAGCACTCAGTGCAGGCTCGTAGTGAAAGAAAAGCAGCCCTGATCTGGAGTGGGCTGGGGCCAGTGAAGAGCCAGGGTATCCCCATCCTCTGGCTGTAACAAGATCATAGTCATTGGGATAAAACTTTCTCTGCAGCCTAGGGGTGAGGAGCTCTTTTTTTTGCTCTGGTTCTACCACAAAAAAAGGAAAGACTGGAGCCTCAGTGCTTCAACTTCTGGTTCTGCCTGATTGCTGACTGTTGTACAGAAAATGCTTTGCACTGAAATGAAATAATTTGGGAAAATATAAAAGCATAGAACAACACTTACAAAGGCAGGAGGGGTCGTGGGATGCTGCATCTCCTATCCAAGGGCCTCAAGGAATGCTCCACTGATTCCCCAGCAAGACAGTGAAGGCAGCACCGGTGGGGGCTGCAGACCCTGCACCTGGGGGCTGCTCCATCAAACCCCCCTAGGATCATGAGCACCTGAAAAATCCCCAGACACTGGGGACTCAGGCAGTGGTTTGGGGAGACACAGTCTGCTCTGAGTGCAGCTCTGTGGGACCCTGTGCTGGGCTGCAGGAGAGGAAACCCCTACACCTTTTGTGGGAGGAAATCCTTCCTGTTCCAGCCTGGGGAGGCTGTTTGCTGGGAGGGAGCGTTCCCATTTGGCTTTCCTGGAGAGATCAGGGATCAGCTGGAGTTAACTGGGACCCCAGGGCAGAGGCAGGGACTCCCACAGCCGCAGGCTCAGCTTGCCCCAGGTACAGGACAGGAGAGACACAGGGGAGACGGTGGCAGTGAGGGGCTAGTGGGGCCAGGCTGTTGCTGAACTGCCGTAACGGGACCACCCGGGGCGAGACTCAGATCACACTCAGCCTCCAAGAGCCTTTCAGCTCCTTTGAAACTGGCGTGAGCAGTGCATTCCCAGTGGAACCAAGGCTGACATCTGTAGCTTTGTGAATACTTTGTATCCCTCTGATAGCAGTTTCACCTTCCTTCCTCTCAAAGTCTCCTCCTTCAGACAAGCCCTCCCGGGAAAGGCACTCAGGCTCAGGGTGTGTGCAACAACTGTGCCACTGTAACTGGCGAAAACTCCCGAATACCTCAGTTATACACACAGGAGAGAATGAAACTTGATCGCTGGCACTCTGCTCCATGGAGAGGGAGCCAAGCTTCCCGGTCCCAGCATGTCCACAGCCACAGAGCCCATGGTGCTGCAGCACTGACGATACCGACCCACCCAGTTAAACACTTCAGATCTGCCCATAAAGACCATGCAGGACAGAAAGGCTGCTACTGGAATTCATGTCTAGGCAGGACATCCCGGTTGGAAAAAGCTAAGAGGGAATATTCCACCTTTAAAGGGTCAATTTCCTTGCTGTTTATTTTTTTAAGAAAGTATTTGATTTAGTGTAAACTGCCAGGACATGCTCTGGGTCTGGAGGTGGGAGGGAAGAGGAAGGGGAAGTGCAAACCTTGCTCAAAGTCTCCACACAGCACCAGTGCTGGTGCCAAATTAAAGCCTTTTCCTCACTACAGACATCTTATACCAGAAAAAAAAGGGGGGAAAAAAGGAAAAAGCTACGTGAGCTTTTGTAATCCAAGCCAGGGTGGAGGGAGGACGCAAGGCATGCAGGGCACAAGGAAGCTCAGGGAGGTGTGTCGTAAGACAGCCATCCTGCTGGGAATAAAACTGATGTCATCAGGGCAAAATCCGAGTGTCCTAAGGAAGGTGGGAGCTGTTGGAGAGCAGTATTTACCACCAATACACAGACCATGATTTACAAGCTGAATTCTGTATATTTCAAGAAAAACAACATTCTTTGCACTGGTCCTGGAAAGCCCAGCCAGGTGTTGAAAGCCACCCACATCTCACTGGCAGGTGACAAGTCACCCTGGCAGAAGGAAGGGCTGGTTTATAGTACACCCAGATCCACACCCGCTCACTGAGGTTCATGGCCCCGTCAGGGTGAGTATCTGCTTCTCTCCCAATCACACAGACCCTCCCCACACACTGACACAGCCTCAAGCACACACTGCCCAGCACTGGTCCAGCCTCACTGCAAACCAAACCGAGCCAGACCATGCATCGCCTCACTGACGGCATTTCCTCTGCAACTCAGGAAGACGCTTTGGGTCAGGGCTGGGCCACGCTGTGTCCAAGCATCGTCCCCAGCAGGCGCCTCGCAGGGCAGTGCTGACGCCAGGGATAATCACATTTCCCTGGAAATGGCGAGTGGAAGCACAGCAGTGGCAGAGAAATGCTCAGCATGCCTCCATGTCTGGCTGTTCAGCACCATCCCATCCCACCAGGAAGGCAGCCTTTCTCTCAGCTCTTGGCTCAGTTAATTATTGACAGGAGATTAGGCAACGTTACGCTGGAGTAAGCCAAGTGCCCCTCGATCAGAGCAAGAGACACGGATCAGAGTGCTGGGACAGCCCTCTGTGG